TGTGAGAAACAAACTCCTGCTCACAACGGCCAAGGCACTGTTCACATTTAGTCTGATACAGTAGATGGTTTTCACGGCTCTGTTTCTTTTATCCAAGGGGAATGGAAGAATAAGCATCTTGTTTTGCTATGTGTTGTATTAAGATGTTATCCTGAAGGAAGTATGGTTTGGAAATGCATTTCTGCATGGATATTGTAGGTGTTCTGTAGTTAGTACTGCCCAACAGTTTCTTCACATCACAGCTAAACCCACTGGGAATTTTTTGCACGTTTCTGTGGCAACGGATCTCCCATTGCAGCACCAAATTTACTCATAGTTACATAATGCGATTCAACACTACGGCTATATTCAACCTTTACCACAAATCATGAGGTTTTATCTTAAATATATCAGATACTCTTTCACAGGGCTCAATTCCTAGCTATAATAGGAATTGCGTAGGCTGAAGAGAAGCATGTTGGGAAATAATAGAGGCTCAAGTTGAGAATCTGTCAGTAATCAGTTAGATGACCCTCAACATACCAACAGTAAGTGAAAGAAAATATACAATTATTGTTGTACATGACCCCCAGTCTGCTTCTGAGGCTATATCACAAGTTATATACCCATATTGCAGAAAGATGAACTGTGCATCTGTACAGAAATAGTAATCCACAAACATATTGAAAAGGAATAAAGTAGAAAACAGCTGTCTTCATTTTAGGGTCCACTGAACATTTTTAAAGGACAATTACCAAAAGCACTATTATAATCATTCAATTACACATCTTTGGGGATTTGTATATTTTTTTTGCAAAATAACGGTCTAAAAATGTCAAATAGTAGCCAGAGGTGTCAGCATCTGCAGGACTGTGTGGCAGTGAGTGAAGTATTGTTCATTTGTCTACAGCTGAGGGCTCTGGAACAATGAGCTGGGGGCCTCTGAAGGCCAGGGGCTCTCAGTATGTGGAGGTGAGTGCCTGTGTGTGGATTACAATGGGCTGAGTCTGTTTCCAGGCAGGACACATCTTCAAGAATGTCACATGAGTTTGAGAGCTGACTGCCTGTGTGCTTCACCTCAGTGCAGCCATCTGCTGAGCTTTCAGATACCAGTTCTGAATCAAAGGTCAAAGCAGATCAGGATAATGTATATGAGGAACAGGCGCCATGGAAACGCAGTGGAGAACCACCTGTGACTCACTCCAGACACCCTGATATAAATTATTTATTGATGCTAATGATAAAAGATTAACTTACTATACTAAATAATGACACACACTATTACCGTGTTATTCTGATTAAAATAATATTTTGATACAATGTGATAAGACCATGGCAAGAACATAAGAAACATTATAAACCAGAAAAGACCATTTGGCCAAGTCCAGCTCATTTGGTTTTTAGTACGTCTTCCAGACATTTTTGAAAAGAAAGATACTGTGTGGCATCATCTTCAACAACATGGCTGGGCAGCTTGTTCCAGACTCTTATAGCCTTCAGTGTGAAAGAGTGCCCTTTAAAACACCCTACCCCACGTTCTCATTTGATTTAAGCTTTTTTACTGAATAAGTCCACTGGGTTGGCCTCACCAGTATCGGATCCTCTTGTACTCTTCTGTGTGTAAAGATGGTTTATTCTGGCAAAGTGGGGGCAAGCCTTTAAAGGCAGTTCATGTATATGATTGTTTTTCTCTGGTCTCATTTTTTGTATTTTTTAAAATATTTTTTACATTTCTGGTCTCAGGTTATGTAACAAGGATTATAGAAGATATCTGTATATAGATTTGCCATTTAATCAGACATCCATTGTCATGTAGGCTTGGAAGACAATGTGTTGAATTCAAGTATTTCTGGAATACTTTCTTTGAAGAATATGGTGTATGTCTCAATGAATCTGTTTTTTTTTTGTTTCAGCTGCATGCATTTGAAATCCTAAAAACTAAATAGGTTCTAAATGGAAATAATTGTAAAGAGATACCTCAGTTGGTGCTGTAATAAAATCTGCTGACCTTCAGAGAGACTAATGTAGATATATGTTAATCTCTGCTATCTTGTCCTGCCATACATTGTTATCATGAATACAAAGACTCCTAAGTTATGATGAGATCAGCTGTACTCATAACAGTTCAGAAGTGTGCATCTATTGCCTGCAATCTGCTAAAAGAGCAGGTGAGAGGAGAGTGCTCTCAAAATGTTGATTGGTGCAGCTGAATGAGATAAAATTGCCTTTCACTGTAGATCAGTCATAGGGCTCTTGTGCCACCCTATAGTACCTACAAGAGGTGACGTTGAAAGTGTTACATAAATATTGAGGTTATTTCACTGTACGGGTTGGATCAAAACTTCATTGTATTAAGACTAGTAATATTAAGACCTTTATTCAGGGTAGGAATTTGGTTCATTCCTGACAGAAAAAGCGCTCAGGAAATCCTATTTGCATTGCATGGTCTTCCCAAATTCTTCTTCTTTATGTCTGTTTGAATTTGGCCTGCGGAGGATGACCGGCACAGCTGTGTTGATCTCTAAGGGCAGATTGTTCTGCCGCTGTGGCTTTTTCAGGCAGACAATGGGTCCCAATCCTTCTGCTCTTTCCTTAGCGACGGTGTTTGCTCAAGGGAAAGTTCACAGGGGTCCCATCATTTCTCACGCTGATGCTCAAACACTGGCACACATACACATGCCACTGGACTCACAGCACATCTGCTGTAGATAGCTACCCTCTCTAAACCACACCTTCAACAAGCCAGCATGTTGCTAACTGTAATACTTTTTTGTTTGGCTATCATTTGGGCAAATATTTAGTCTTCAAAGTCAGAGAGTACATCAGTGCTCTTCTCAAGTCTCATTAGAATTGAGAATTCACTATAGATTTCAGAGATATAAATGTTTCTAAGAGCTACCCTCACTTCCCAGTAGGAGCATCTCACTGTAAATCTCTGAAAGTTACATATTTTAATTCTTTTCTTTTACAGGTTCTTTTATCTTAATATTTTCTTTTAGTTTGGTTTTTGGGGATGAACAAAGCCTTGTACAAGCTAAGCAGTGCGCTGTGCTCTGCACAGGAAAAAACCCAAATCACTGAGCATTCACTTAATGACTGGCTCTTACCACAACATAGGAGGTGGGAGGGAGAGGCTCAATTATACAGACAGCAACCACTGTTTTTGTAATTTGGTCCTTGAAATATACAGTATACCTGCCCCAAAACAATTAAAAGGACATGCTATGACAATAAAGAACTGCCTTACAAACAACACAGAATTGGATCATTTTTGCAAGACAATTTTGCTAAACTTTACTGCATGTGCATTATTTAGTTATATATTTTAGTACCATAATTCTGATAGAATTTAAAAAATAATAGTGTTATAATTATTACTAAAAATATATGGGTAGAGCTTTGCCAGATGTTAAAGAGGGCAGTCATTCTGTTTCTATTTTTTAAAATTATGTAGAATTAAGGAAAATAAGAAAATAATTTTCATTGTAATTTAGCGTAAATACATAGGTCTATCTAAATCAATTATCAAGCCTTTATTGCAGATACAGGCAAAAATAGATTATATCAGAAATGGATTTTTAAGAGTTTCATACTTTTTTGGGAAAATGGTTAAAAGCAGAGATGAAACAACTATAGACTGAAGCCACACACAGGGTTAGAAGTACAGACTTTGCCATACAATGACAGATGATAACAATGAAGACTAGAGACCATCATGCTGATAAGAAAACAATACAGCTGACAATGAAATCTTAGGATAAATAAGTCCACAACACAGTAGGAAATGTACTGGTATTTAAACATTGGTAAGTAAAAGGTGAACTGGCTAAAGTTACTCAGATTTTCTTAAAAACAACAAGTGCACTTTTGTAGATACATACTTTTGCAAAACTACTGTTAATGTGTACCTTTTGGAATGGTATTCATTGAGATAATATTAATTTCCTGGTTATCTGTGTGAAAGAAGACGCAGGGAATATTTTAAGTATTTTTGGTTCACAAACAAAATAAACTTTAAAAGGGGCAACAAAAATACCCTTCAGTAAGAGTAACTGCAGTCTGCTGTAATACTTGAGTTGGGCTTGTGGTGTTACATGTACTGTTTGTTCCCTTGGCAAAGGTTTTGTCAAGTGTTCTAAGCCTTACTACAATTGTCATGATTCTTTCAAAAGAACTTGAAGCTGCCAAATCTGGGATCTGCTGCTTTCTCAAAGTTTGTTAAACTGGCACCAGTGGAAACGTGGAAAGTTAGCGTTTCAATAGGCTAAAAAAATTAAACTCATTACTAATTCAAAACACACACCCAGCCTGCAGCTTTTGACGATACCACAATGAATGAATCAATGAATGAAAATGGTAAAGTCGGGTGTCTGTCCGAGCAACTACGTCATTTTCTGGTAAAACGTATAGTCAATAAATTGAACGCAACAATAAAAAATACTTTAACTCATTTCTTATGGTACAGGGTATTTTTTAATCAGTAGTTCTTAACGCAGGTCTGCAGTGCAGAGACGAAAGCATAGACTTCTCTCCCAGCAAACTGAATCATAACTCGAGCTAACAGCACCCCAAATATGCAGTCCTTGTTCCACACCGTTACTGTGACAACTTATTACGCACAAGTAATGGCTCTTTTGTAACATGTTTTAAGGAAACAGTAACATTTATATTGACGAAATTATCATGTGAATGAAATGTCTATTACATTCGAGCACCCAGACATAAACGAAAGCTTATACAATGCTAGGACCGTGCGAATTATGTGTGCTTTATACTTTGTCTGAATCTTTTTTTACCCGTATTAATAATATCGTCTTGAAAACAAATAGCACACAAACTATCTCACCAACAGTAAACGTATCTAAATGACGGCAGTAATCTACATAACCTAGGCGACCTGCAACGGAATGAATAAAAACAGACTTTAAAGATATTTTTAAGGAAACTGTGATACAACGTTAAGCACAATCAATCCACTCGTGGAAAGAAGAAAACAAGACGCAAGTAACCCAAACTGTTACCTTGTGAAGTTTCCACATGGCCCCCAACGCTTTGACTTCATGCGTGGAGTGCTTGCCCTCTTCCAGACACTGGTAGCACACAGGCATCTTGCACTGGACGCAGTACATGCTGTGGTTCTCCAGTTCGTGCTCGGTACAGGTGGAAATTTTTCGGGGGCTCTGTCTGCGGCTAACCCTCCCCTGAGCCGGGGGTACGAGGCGATGCTTGGCGAGCGGGCCCCGGGGAGGGTGGCATCTCAGACGGCAAGGGTCGCAGTAGAAGACGTCGCACTGCTCACACATCACAGTAGCTTCTTTGGGGCTCTTTTCGCAAAGCTGACACTTCAGTGCGGCCGCTTTGCTCTGCTGGTACCTGTCGACCACCCCTTCCAGCACCCTGTTCTTGGGGAAACCGCGGAGCCCCCGGTCGTCCAGGATTAGGCTTCGATGGCACTGCGGGCAGGTGATGCAGGAGTTGCGAGGGATGGGAGGCAGAGAGCCGGGGTGCTGTAGCAGGTGGTGCTGGGGAGGAGGAGGAGGGACGGCAGGGGGGAAAACCCGCACCCCGTTCGGGGATTTCTGGCAAGGGGTGGTCGGGGCACTAGCGAAGCCTCCGTACGAGCCATAGCCGCTGTCCGCCTCACTGTACAAACTCATTTTATCCAAATCTAGGTAGTCATAGTCGGAAACCCCCGAGCCAGAAGCCCGAGTACTCTGCGGTGATTCGGCGTCTGGGGTCTGCACTAAAATATTCCGAGCGCACGCCAGGCAGATATTGTGGGAGCACGGCAATATGATGGGCTCCCGGTAAAACGATCCGCAAACAGGGCATTTTAATTCTTCTTCCATCTCTTCCATAGGTGGCTGTTTGTTTGGAGATGAACGAAGCCTCGTACAAGTTAAGCAGTGCGCTGTGCTCTGCACAGGAATAAACCCAAATCACGGAGCATTCAACTTAATGACTGGCTCTTACCACAGCAGCTACTACCTCCGCTGTACCAAGCCTGAGGTATGAGACCGGACCAATTTATCTCAGGCTGTTAAGCCCACCTACCTTGCACAGGACAACCTCTACACAAAACTGATTGGACGCTGTAAACTGTGCGGAGATACAATTGGATACTTCAGTTGTCAGTTTACGTGATGTATCGTTTAGGTTGACTCAGAAGAGGCATTGATAAGGCAGCTCCGTGAAGTTGGCCCCCCTACAGACAGCACAAACGATGAAACCCAACTTATTCGTAAGTGCTACGTTTTCGCCGGTTTGTGCCGTTGAAAGTAGTGTTGTGCTGCTTTCATTTCCGAGATATAGCGCCTTGTTTTTTTCGGGGTCGTGACGTAACTCAGCTCCCCTACAATGTCGTAGGGAAACCAAACCGGTCTCATTCGTTAGCGCTACGTTTGCTGCTTTCGTTACCGAGATATAGCGCCTTGTTTTTCCGGTGATCACTTGACGATGCTCGGTGACTTTGACCTCCAGTGACCCCATCTACCGAGTTCAAGCGTTCTGTTACAGTTTAGCTCGTACCCCATTTTAAAGGCAATCAATATCCATAAACATGAGCCTCCTTAGATGTGAATAATACTAGGACATGACGCATGCCAACAAGTTAACCATCTATGACATAAACCTGTGGTTGTAATGTATGTAAAATCACCGCGATTGTAAGTTCCATGGTTTTTATTTTCTAAGGCACGTTTTTCTTTCTTTCCCTACCGTGACACGCTGTTGCCAAACGCGTAACTGTGGGATACCATCGTGACAAGAGCTCCGCAGCATGTCATGATAGGGACCCCATGTGTATCGCGGCAGTGTATTTCACGACTGGCGCCTTGCTTCCATGCCACCCTGGCACCGCTGTCGCAACAAAGGTCTCATATCAGGACATGATATACCCAGATAGGACGTGCCACGATGGACTCTGTGTCGCAATATGGGGTCAGCATATCCTGTCCAGGGTATGTCCTATGCAACATTTGGATTCCATGTGGCGACATATGGGCAGAGCATTTTGTCGGGTATGTCATATCGCAATATGCGGGCTCCATGTCGCGACATGGGGGCGGGGCACTTTTGCCGGGTATGTCATATTGCGATATACTGGCTTCATGTCGCGACATGGTAGGTGGGAGTTTTGGCTGGGCATGTCATATCGCGATATAAAGCCTTTCATGTCGCGACATAGGGGTGGGGCACTTTTGCCGGGGTATGTCATATCGCGATATGCGGACTTCATGTCGCGACATAGGGGTGGGGCACTTTTGCCGGGGTATGTCATATCGCGATATGCGGACTTCATGTCG